CCGGTTGCTAATCTCTTAGTCATTGTTCATAGTTGGTTTAGTATATTTTTACTAGGCTGTGACTCACCCTATATGGGGACATCATTTTCAGGTATAGGTAGCATGTCACCTCTAAGGACATAGCTTGGGAGGCTAGAGGCGGACATACTTTGGCCGTCTTATTTTCCTTGATTGTATTACATATAGTTTCAAGCCAAGGGCTTAAGGTGTAATTGGGTTAGCACTCTCTTTTGTAACCAAGTGTTAACTTGGAAAGCTGTAAGCCCGTAGGGCATTTGCTTTTGTGTTATAAACATGTAATACTGTTGTAATGAAATACCCTGATGAATAGATGAATGTGGACCTTTATGTATCAATGCATGTCCCTATATAGATGGGTTTAGTGTTATTATTTTGAGGGCGTTACATTAAGTCTATTGAAATAGTATCTTATTGAATAGTAAGTTATGTTTAATTAAGTAGTAAGTAAAGATTGATTGAATAGTAAGTGAAATCTCACCAAGTAATAACTAAAGTCTAATGGAGTGGTTCGTTAAGTAGTAAATCGGGTTTAATTGAGTAGTAAGTAAAGTCGAATGAAGTAGTGAGTGGAAACTAATTGAGTAGTACGTGATGTCTTAGGCAATAGTAAGTACAAACGCATTAAATAATAAATTGGGTTTAATTGAGTTGTAAGTGAAATCTAATTAATTATAATTGGAATCTCATTAAGTAATAATTCAATTCTACCTATCATGAAGTTATAAGTAGTACGTCAAGTCTAGTGAAATCATAAGTAGAGTTTATTTGAGCAGTAACTAAAGTTTAATAAAGTAGTAAGCCAAAGTTAATTGAATAATAAGTGAATTATAATGAAAGCTCATTAAGTAATAAGTGAAGTGTAATGAAATAGTGAGTGGAAAATCATTGAGTAGTAAGTAAAATCCAATAAAGTAGTAACTAGAAGTTCATGAAGTAGTAAGTGGAGATTTTGAGTAGTAAGTGAAATTTAATTGAGTAATAAGTAAAGTCTAATGAAATAGTAAGTGAAAACTCATTAAATGATAAGTATGATTTAATTGAGTAGTGTGAAATCTAATAAAACAATAAGTGAAGTCACATTAGCTAATTGTAATATCACCTACCATTTGGTTTGATCTAAGTAATTTTATTATACTTTCCACATATGGAAGGCAACATTGGGCATAGCAACACCGTATATGAATAATGATGATGATGATGATGATGATGATGATGATGATGATGGTGATGCTTTTGACACTAGTAACTACAACATTGGCAAGCAAGAGAATATTGTTAGTTCTGATGATCTCTTAACCAAAAGAGATGCTAAGTGTATGGATCAACTAATTAAAAAAGATGTGTTTGAAATGATATTTGATTCGGTAGAAAATGGAGAAAAAATTCTATAATATGATTTTACTATCATAACACTAACAATTCATTATGATTTTACTCACAATATTCATAACAAAATAATGGTTTTCCATATTTGGCAAATAGTTTACAAAATCATCATCACCATCATCAGAGAAGCTTGAAATTTTTGGTTCAGAAACCAAGAGTGGATCTTCTATAATTGATATGATGGCATGTCATGATCAAAATTGAGTAGTAAGTTCAGTCTGATGAAGTAATAAGTAGAAACTCATTGAGCAGTAAGTGGAGTCTAGTAAAATAGTAAGTGGAAGCTTATTGAGTAGTAAGTGAATCCAAAATTGAGTAGTAAATGAAGTGTAATGAAATAGTAAGTGGAAGCTCATTGAGTAGTACTTGGAGTCTATTGAAGTAGTACGTGGAAGCTCATTCAGTAGTAAATGGATTATAGCAAAGTAATAAGTGGAAGTTTATTGAGTAGTAAATGAAACCAAAATGGAGCAGTAAGTGAACTGTAATAAAATAGTAAGCGAAAATTTATTGAATAGTAAGTAAAACAAAAAATGAGTAGATAGTTGAGTATAGTGTAGTAGTAAGTGGAAGCTCAATGAGTATTTTTAACTTTTTTGGGACAGTGATAAATTTGATGAAATTAAGTAGAAGTGAGATTTAATTAAGTAATAAGTCAAGTTTAATTAAGTGGTATCTTATTGAGTAATAAGTCACATTTGATTGAGCGATAAATGGAGCTTGACTGAGTAGTAATGGTGATATGATAGTGGTGGTGGTAGTGATAATGGCATGGTAGTGTGGACAATTGTAGTGGAAACAATTATGGTGGTAGTGGTAGTGACAGTGGTAGTGTCGATAGTGATGGCAGTGGCATGGCGGTAGTGGTGGTGGTAGTAATGGCATAGTAACGATGATGGTGGTGGTGTTAACAGTGGTGATGGTAGAGGTAGTGATGATAGTGGTAGTAAAAATATAGTGGTGTTTATATATAGCAACAATGACAGTGATGATGAGTGGTGGCATGGTGGTGGTGGTGGTGAATAGTAAGTCAAGTTTGATTGAATAGTTTGTGGAGTCATATTGACTAGTAAGCGAGATTTAATTGAGTAGTAAGTCAAATATGATTGATTAGTAAGTGAAGTTTCAATGAGTAAGATAAATGAAAATTTTTTGGTAATTTTTATAAATTCAAATATTTAAAAAAAAATACCTAACATTTCCAAATAATTTATTTAATAATCTGACATTGGTTTAAAAACAAAATCATGACAAAAAAAACATACTGCTATAACACATGTCGTGATCCACTATTGGCTAGGTTTTTGTAATTATTTTGCTATATGTTTTAAATCTTTTAAATAAATATATAATTTAACAGTTTTTCAATTTTAAAGAAAAACTGTTAAATTATCATAAAAAAATCATTACAAAATACTCATTGCGAAATTTGAAAAATCAAGACTATTGACAAGATATTAAATTTTTTTAGTCAAGGAAAAAAGAGGATAATATTTTCCTAATAACAATAAAATATCACAGCTAAGGAGAAGATCGAATATTACTCTAAAAGACAAAAAGGAAAAGAAAAGTATTAGAGATCACAATTTAGACTTTTAAATTCATTAACAATGATGTAGTATGGCTTTGGCCCAAAGTGAGCAAAGCTGCCAATTCGGACCTCTGAAAAATGAGTTTTTAAAATAAAAAAAAAAAGTCCCTAGAATTTGTTGCAGTGATTATACTAATCCAAAAACAAAGAAAAAAAAATCTAAATTTGAAAGGTCCTGATTAAATATGGTGAAAATTCAAAACTAATAGATGGCTGATGTGGTAAATTATTTAAAACTAATGAATAATTATTTTTACTGCAAAAAATCAAATAGCCAATTGAAATTGTGAGTTATTTCAAATTAATGGAGGATTATTTATCAAATGTATGTATCGTGTATATAATACAATTAAGGATATATTATAAATACATCTCTTGATATTTGCTTAAATTATGATTTGCCCCATGTAATTTTACAAATTACATCACGCCCCTAGAAAATTTTAATTTTAGAACAAATTGTCCCTTTTGTTAATAAATCATCAAGTCGATTAACAATTTTTAATGATATTAGAAATTTATTTAAATTAATAATTCAGGTAATTTTATCATTGTATAGGCCTATACAATTAGAAATTTTATTTTTTTCAATTAATTCTATTAAATAAAAAATTCTAATAAGGAGATATTTATAATTTTTTAAATCATAGAGAGTAATTCATATTTTAAACAAACTTCAAGGGGTATGTTTGTGATTTACGCTACAATTAATTATACCAGTTATAGTTGTTTATGGAAAAATAATTTTTTTAATTTAAATATTACTTTCGGTCAACTATGTCACAAGAAAAATTGAATAAATTAACAATTTTGTCCATTCAAAATGATTTAGTGGATAAGTTGGATTTACAAGTTTGATTAACAATTTTGTAGCCAAAACTGTGAAAATGGTGATGTTCAATTAATATTTTATTATAGTTTGTTCACATTTTACTTAGTACTTAAGCTTAGATTATTTGATCATTGTTTTTATTGTAAACCTTGTTATATATTTAAATAAATTTTAATAGTTATATATGATTAATCTTTTTTGTAAATATTGACAAATAATTAAAAATATAGATACATAATCTTTTACTCGACAGTATATATATATATATATATATATGGAAAATGAGTGAGAGTACTAATTAGTGCTATAAAAGAAATTACACGTGTGTTAGGTGTAATAGGACTTTAAGCTTTATTTTGGGTGTTGTGTTTATGTCCGTTGGCTTATTGCCAACCAAGTATTATATAAATTGGATTTAAGTCGTTTGGCTTCTTTAAATTGATACTTTTTCTTGCTTCGCTCTCTTTATTGTAATGTTTTATTTATCTAATAAAATATTACTTCTTTGTTGATACAAAATAATATATATACATATATATTTGTAAATGTAAGAAAGGCCTCGTAACAAAATTCACTTTTGGGCTTTGAAAATGTCAAAGATGACCCTAAGCCCTACACAATTGGATTTGTGATAAATTAGAATTTGATATCTATTATACTAAATCATTATCACCAAGGATCCTCTAAAGTGAAATTTTTTTAAAGTTTCCGTAAAGTTTATGATGTGACTTGCCAGTAAATCTCAACCACACAATGTAGCACTGTAGGAAACTTTAGGAAAAAATCACTTTAGAGGATCCTTGTTCTATCATTATAGATCAAATTGTTAAAAAATAAATAAATAAATAAATAATAAATAATTGGGTCATGCAGTACTACACCATAATAAAATAAGCATTAATATTCCAATGGAAAATAGGTTGGCCAAAGCCCACTTACAGTACCATGTACTACAATCACCCACAACACAAAAGACTAATCTCCCACCTAGACCAACTTAGTAACCAAGCAAATACCAAACAAATTGGAGTCTTCGAAGAAAGGTATCAGACACTTGCAGCACCAAAAAGTGCAGCACATATGCATGATCCAACAGCTTAAAAGAATTTATTCTTGATAACTTTGATCATCATCATCATCATCACCATCATCATCATTATTATCAATTGATCAATTTTCGAGTGCACTTGGGTTTGGCGAGGCAAAAGCTAGCAACTCCTGGTCACTTTCAAACAAGGCCATGTCTTTTTTCAACAAAGTCATCCACACTTCTATTCCGTCACCATCTCTTGTGTCCAGCAATCCAATTCCAATTGGGTTACCAAATAAAACAGCAGTCGTATATGTTGGCTTCCCCCACCCGAAATCAAGTTCGTATAGACCAAACCTACACCAACTGCTATGGCGATACACCTTCACAGCGTCTCCCTTGAGTCTCAACAGTTTTATCTTTTCAGCGATGAAATTGTTATCTGTGGACTGTTGAAGCCCTTTCCTCAGCTGACAAACCAAGCCTGGCAAGTTTGTTTCTGCACCACCATCTTCGATCATTGCCCACAACAATCCAGTTATATTTCCAAAAGAATATTCTGGTAAGGGTGGCCCAAGCCTTGTGCGCATGTTGACAGCCCCTGTCAACGCATATGCCTTTGGACTTGGAACTTCAGTTTCAAGTCCAAGGGCATATGATCGGGAGGCAGTCACAGCGCATTTGAAGAGGGCCGCAGTGACAGCCTCGACCCGGGTAGGTTGCTGCACGCCCGTGCTGGTCGCTTTGGCCTTGAGGGTAGCAACTTTCGATGCGTTGATCACAAACCTTTTTGTGACAATCTTCTTGGTCGTCTGCATGAACGTCATTGACAACACCGGGCAGTCCTCTCTCGGTGGGAAGCGAGACGAGGCAGCAATGAAATCTGGTACAATAATCTCAGACGACCCGAGGGCGATGTCGGACCAGGCCTTCACGAAGGCGGCATACGCGACTCCATCGGCGATCTTGTGAGACATACGCACACAAAGTGCCATTCCGCCGCATGGAAATAAGTCAAGTTGAACGAATAACAGAGGGTTGTTGTTGAAGTCTTCGGGGTCGGGTTCAAATAAACGGTACATTTCTTCGACTTTGGGTTGTTCAAGAATGTCTGAGAGACGACAGTCGGTGACTCGAGCTTCCAAATATTCAACACCCTCGTCGTTACAATTGATAAAGAGATTGTCTCTCAGTCTTCCGGCAAGTGGGTAGAAGCGAGTGAGGGTTTCAGAGAGAGTTTCCTTTAAGCGTTGGGATCTTATGCTAACCATCTCTTCGTGATTCACATCACGAGTAGTGTTGACATAGAAGAAAACAACTGGGATGTAATCATGGGGAGAGAATTGATCCCTAGAACAGAGCTTGTAAATTCTAAATTGATTGGGTGTGGGAGAAGATGGCTTGATGATTTCTCTAGCTACTATCTCAACCTTCATCTCCATGCTTGTCTCTATATTTTGCTTTGCTATAAACACTACAAGAGTGGAGAATATAGAGGGCCTTCCACGTATGAGAATATATATATGAACTGAGAAAGGTATTTTCTCATTACACGTGAGCCATGCCTCACGACTTCAACTGTGGATATTTTATTTATTTATTTTTATTATCACACATTCTAAATCCTAAACTTTAAAACTTTAAGTTTTAATTTTATGGCCGTGCTATGTCTCCCGAAATTCCCCCCTAATCCCCCGAATTTTCAAACCAAGGCAAAAAAAAAAAAAAAAAAAAGAGTTCCCCAAAACGACGTCGTTTTGGGGATTAGGGAGACTTTTTTAGGGCTTCAAATCATTTTCCTTAATTTTATTAATTTAAGCACTACATTTTTCATAAGAACCAAATTCTCCCCAATCTATAGTAGATTGAACAGTCTATTTAGGTTTGTGAGATCTATTATGAGTATTATCTCAATAATTTGAACAAACTAATGTTAGAAGCCCACATTTTAGATTCACAAATTCAAATATGCAGTTTAAATTATCAAGATATGGCTCATGATGCCCAAAAGAAAATTTTAGTGAAAATGAAAGTGAACGAAAATAAATAAAAAAGAAAATATATTTTATTGCAAGCATTTTATTAAGATAAAAATTTTGTAAGAAAAAGATATAAAAATTTAAAAATTTATTTTTAAATAACTCAGACATTTAAATTTTCTTGTGTTTTCTTTACAAAAAATTAAAAATTAGTTACAATGCTAATATGGGTTGTACAAAATAAATTACCTTAAACTATTTTCAAGCCAAACAAAATCATAAAAGTTATTTTTTTTTTTCCTCTTTCATTCATCCTAAACAATTTGAGCTAAAGTGACCTGGAGAAAATCTATCTCATTCTCGGTATGATGTCAATGTCAATACTCAATCCATTTTGATTAACTTGTCCTATTGAGTAGGGGTGATAAACGAATCAAACCGCTCAAACTCAACCCGTGTTCAGCTTATTAAAAGTTTGGTTGAGCTCAGTTTGTTAAGTAAATAAGTCAAATTTGAATACATTTCGAAACTCATTAAAATTTTCAACATTACGGGTTCAGTTCGGTTTGCTAAGTCTAAAACTATATAAAAATACCAAATTAGTTGAACACGACTCAACTAAAATCCATTTGAGTTCGGCTCGAAAGTTTAACGAATTAAATTTTGAACAAATTTTGAAACTCGTTAAAATTATCAAGCCAAACTTGAACAATTAATTGTTCGGCTCGTTTGTCACCCCTACCGTTGAGTGATAATGATAAATAATTGAGAAAATTATTTTTTTTTTTAAAAAAAAAACCCTAGACTTTAACCTCAATAACAAATTAAACTCTAAATTTTTAATTTCATCATTTTAAACCCGACATTTTAAAATGAGTTTCAATTCATTCTTTGAAATGAGACTTATGATTAAAACAACTAACGGAACTGTTCCTCTTCTTTTTTTCCTTTTCCTTTTGGGAACAAACTTACCTGAATAACCATAAACCAAAGATGCATTTTATCAAACACATTACCTATCCACTTTGTTTTCTTGTAGGAATGATTCACGTTTTTGTTAGTAGTACTACTACGGGGGCGTTTGGAAAGTTGCTATTTTAATAGATTATTTTAGAAGATTAAAATTTTTATATTTGAAAGGATAATTGAATTTTTTTTTATAATTTGATGTGATGTTTGTAAGATAAAAAGTAAAACGATTATAAATTTGATGTGACATTTTATTTTATTAATTATTTTAACTTATTTTGTCTTTTAGTATTATTTAACAAAAAAATTCAAAAAAATTATTTAGTGTTATTCTAAAGTTGAAGGCGTGATTCACGTTTTGTTAATAGTACTACTATGTATGTAGCGGATATTTTAAAGTTGATGCGGCTAATGTGGGGGCAAGTGTAATCGACAATTTTGCTGGGTGGAACAGCATCTCTTAAATTAGAGTGAATATTTTTACCTCTTGTATTAATTCATTATAACACATCAGAGTTTTAAAAATTAAATATTTTAATTTTTAAAAGTAAAAATTTTATTTTAAAAGATATTTAGGGATCAATTTCTATCGTCATGAGAATAATTATTAAAAAATCGTCTTGAAAAGTAAAAAATAAAACTTTTAGAAACAAAATTTTAAAAATATCACTAATAAGTAGACTTTTAGAACACAAATAATTTATTCTCAAAATAGTTTATTTTTTGACACAAAAAATTTGATCCCAAAAAGATAATAATTTATCACTAATATCTAATTTTTGTTGATAAAAATATAATAATAAAATTTTTTACAACAAAAATATTTAATTCTTAAAATATAATTTTATCCTTAAATTTTGATTTTTAAAACTTTAATTTTTTTTTTTTAGTGATTGTTGGTTTCGGGGAATTGTGGAGCCAATCAATTACGAATTTTGCTGACACTATTTTTTTAATCAACAATGATTCATCCTCCCTTTTCCTCCCATCTCCTTTGACCCCCTCTCTCTCTCATTGGTTACATTTTCTTTTCTTTTTTTTTCTTTTTCCTGTTTCTCCAATCATCACCTGCCACATGACAAAGGGAGTGAGGGGGTGACCCCCAAAAGGAAGTTCCAAGTATTATTCTTTTTTAATAGACTTTACTTGTCAAAAAGAAAAAAGAAAGGGAAGTACCGCTGCTATATATAGCGTATGAAGTGAAAATGAATTAGACGCAGACACTAGGAGCAGTTAAATATAACTAAAATTTTAGTAATGAGAAAAAATCATTATTAAACTGGTACTGTAGTTAGTATTAAGAATCTAAAGAAAATTTGGTATAATTAAAGTTACAGTCCATTGTGTTTGTTCAATATATATATTCACCTTGAAATTTAGAAACCCTAAGTCATTTCATATAATATTTTTTTTCTTCAAAAAATTCATAAGTTTTCTTCATAATATTTTTTAATATCTAAAATATTGTAAAGCATAAATTGAAAATAAAATATAATAAAATAACTTAGAAAGACCTTTCATTTGTCAATATTTATTAATGGTAATAAAAAAATACATATACAGTTTTTACTTTCTTTTACCTGCTGCACTTGAAAATGTTAACTACTAATTTAAAAAGTATAGAAGAAGTCTCAACTCATTTGCCGACATAATGAATAAGATTGTGTTTTTTTTCAAATTTTTTACAAGGGAAAAGTGAAAGAGGGTGATTTAGATTTTACAAATTGAAGAGAAATTTTAGGTAATAATTTATCTATGTCTCTATCTCTCTTTTATTTTAACATTATGTGATATTTTTAATTCATAAATTTTAAAGAACACTTCAAAAAATTAAGGTTTTAGAGACCAAAATTTAGAGACAAGATTATTTTTTAGGGACCAAATAATTTTATTGCAAAAAGTGTCGTTATTATATTTTTAGCAATAAAAATTGGACATTAGTGATGAATTATTATCCTTTTGGAATCAAATTTTTTATCTAAAAAAAAAACCATTTTCAGATCAAATTATTTTATTCCTAAAAGTCTATTTATAGTGACATGTTCAAAATTTTGTCGCTAAAAGTCTTATTTTTTACTTTTCGGGATGACCTTTAGCAACTATTTTCATGACGATAGAAATTGGTCCCTAAATGTCTTTTGCCACAAAATTTTCACTTTTAGAGATCAAAACATTTGATCTCTAAAACTCTTATATGTTGTAGTGGAAAAAGTACATTTTTAAAATTTTAGGTCAAGTTTAACAAAATAATAAGTATAATTTTATTGCCTAGTAACTTAAATCTATTGAAATAGTGTTTTATTGATTAATAAGTGTGGGAGCCAAATATAAGTACTTGCAGGGAAGCCGAATAATGGGTCTGATAGTAATCAGGATATATATTATATTCGGCGCCGTCATGTACGATCCCGAAGCCGAATGAACTAATCGGCCATAGAACCAGCTGAACAGAAAGCCGAGTGAGAATTGGCACATGATAGAAGGGGGTCGAATGAGCAATCACACCATGGATAAAGAGTGGGTCCAACCCTAGGGAACAAAAGCAAATATAAATAGAGGAACATCAACTAAAGAATGGTATGTGAGAAAAACCCAAGAAACTTAAGACATAAGCAAACGAGAGACATATACTAACTTGTTTGTCAGAGTGCTAATTCTGGCACCCCCGACCGGAGTGTTAATCCCTTTTTCAGGTGGTAGTCAGAGGATCAGGAACGTCCTTCAGTATCCAAGAGTATTTCCATACCACTTCTTCACAATTGGCGCCGTTTGTGGAAATACTCAAGTACATCCATGGCGAGCGTAACGGAAGATCCTTCGATAGTCACTGACGAAACTACACCAAGAGACGACCTCACTCCAAGAAACATGCTGGGACCGGAGAATATCGCTGTGCGACGTGCCTTGAACTTTGACTCAGTAGCTCAGCCCTCACCCTTAACTTCAATGCTTGAGACAATGCAGACGATTATGGATTAGGCAAAGCAAAATGAACAGCGGCTATAGAACAGGATGGCTGAGAATAGGCGCCTGCGCCACGATTTGGCCTTGGAAGTGGCGAAATCCCAACAAGCCGCATGCCAAGACCGGGATCGACCTTCGAGAAAGAAGGATGGTCGCCGACGTCGACTTTAGAAACGCAATAATGATAGTGATTCAGACTCACCATCCCTGGAGCCCAGAAAGAAATGGTGCGTTGATGTATCCAGCTCGTCTGAAGGAAGTCTATATGTACGACATAGACGAAGGAGAAGCGATGATTCGGATAAGGGAGATAAACATGACCCATTCGTGCGACGAATTGCCAGGGCTGTGCTACCCAAAAAGTTCAAGGCACCGTCATTCACCCTCTACGACGGAAAATCAGACCCCACTAATCACATTCGTCAGTACAAGCAAGTGATGACGTTCCATGCTGATGACGAAGCCCCCATGTGTCGGATATTTCCAAGCAGTCTGGGACCACTGGCCGTGAGGTGATACTATAAACTGGA